GTTTTGTTGTTTTCTTTGGTACTCCTGGACCCTTGCTGTGCATAAATTGAAAATGCGGATGAACCCATTAACTACTTCCATCAAATCCGCCAATCTTTACCTAGCGGAGGGCCGCGAACGTTCTTCTAGAAGATGACCAATAGTACGCGGTAAGGGGTGTTTGTTTAAGGGGGGTTTACGGACGCGGGGCACCAGCAGATGGTCCGCTGTGCGGATACACTGCTCTATTGTGCTACTCAATAAGTCTACATCACTTATTTGATTGGATTGTAGGGTATGGGCCTGGAGGAAATACCTCAGGTTGTTGAAGTTTTCCCCTTAAAAGAACTAACCTCCCTAAGACATGGTTTGACGCAGCTGGGCAAGCGGACTATTATATTGAAGGACAACACGATGTGGTCACTCCTGCCCAAGTTGCAATGCTTTTGACTTTTGTTCCTGTGGTGACTATCACCTATTACGACAAGGTCCAGCAGTGAAGGGAATCGCCCGTTTCTGAATCTGGTTGAGCTTGCGACTTGCTGAGACCATGACAGCTCTATAACCAGATCCACCGCAGAAAAGAAGACAAATACAGAACGGGGAATATTGGGCGTAAGCCTCGAACCCGAGTACTGCTTCAAGAATTCAAGACTAGTAGCCTTCTAAATGTATTATCCGGGGCGTCAATTCTGCGCCAATCTTTTTCCGGAGCGTTCAAGTCTCCAGTTATCAGGAGATTGAAATTGGGGCGCATAGATCCTAATCTATTCAGTTTTTCTATCGGAAGTAGTGATTCTAGCTCGCCACAGGAGAGTGAGCGGTAGACTACTCCTAGCACCGGTGTCTCAGAGCGGGTCAGGGGAATTTGGACCCAGAGGCAATCTATAAAAGGGATGGGATGGAGTGATAGAACTATCGATTGCGGGAGGTGGTCACTCGTGTAGACGATCACACCACCTCCTGGAACCCTCATTGAGTCTCTTCGAATCAATGAGTAACCTGCAATGGACACCTCGCCATTGCTGTTTTCTGGAGTCAACCTGGTTCCTGTGAGGGCTTAGATATGGGGTTTCTTATTGGCCACTAACTGTTTGACTTCCAGCATCTTGTTTGAGATGCTGAGACAGGTGAAAATGTATTTCAGAGCCCACTCACCAGAGATTTCAGTGAACCAGAGTTAGAGGGGGATATTTGGGAGAGACTCTTATTTGGGCAACTGGTTAGCAATAAGTGGGCTGCGGAGAGAGTCCGGATTACGAACCATTCTGCGGCATGGTTGCCTCGACCTATTGAAGAGATCGGGAGGACGGGTCGGATGAAATGTGGGGAGAAAAGGGGCAGTTTGCGATCCCTTACGGGGGTGTGCGAAGCATTCTTATTGCACAAAGGGATTCGAGTCACGGAGAAGGGTTTATTGTGGTGCTAATGACCAGGTTGGGAACAGTAATGCGGGGGTTTGCCAGGTAAACCGGTCCTGTGGGCTTTGGATTAAGAGGCTTCTTAGAGTTAGCCTTTATCGTGACTGGGGTGTAGTGCCTCGGTGTTGAGGCTGTTGCGGGGTGTTTGGGTCTCGTCGTAGGAAAAGTTATTGAGGCACTGGAAGGTTGTCGTCTCTTGCGAGGTGAAGAAGTTGTCGTTGCTTGGTGGTCTACTCGCGAGAGGGGGATTACTGGCATACAGTGGAGTTTGGGGTCGGTGGCAACCTTGTTACTTCTGAGGGCTTCCTTCCACTGAGTTTGGGCATGCGGTAGTCTGTCTGGGGAAACTTCGCGGACAAGACTGCACGCCCTTTACAGGGTCTCGATTTGAGCAAGAGCATCTGCTACCGCTGACTCCTAGTTGAAAGTGATAAGAATGCCCACCTTCGTCGTTTCAGATTTGAACATCACCGCGATGCTCCGTTTGGTCCGGGCAGGGATGAAGCTGTCAGACTTTTCAGTAGGGTTTTGGTTGCCTGAGCCGGAGAATTGATCAGGGAAAATTATCCCAGGAAAACGACCACAGGACTTGACGGCAACATGCCAAATTGTCCAGTTTCTAGCTCTGGTAGGCTCTTGAATCCCCAGTGCTTTGACTTGACGACCGTAAGGTCTTCAGGGAATTGCAGATTCTCTGTTATCGTGCTCTGTGTAGGCTCTTTTTATAGATCTGCACGCACAAAAAGCTCAAAAAAAGCAAGTTATTATTTCAGTCACCGTGATACAACTTCTGTGGTGTATTCTTCATTTCTCGCCCAATAGGTTATCCCACGCTCTGTTAAGCTGCAGCTTGAATTGCGTTACCGTATAGACATCTATTACTTCACTTGGCAGATTATCTCAGTCATTCACAACTCTTACTGCAAAGAAGTGATTTCTGATCCCCGGTCTGGGTCTTTACTTCTTCAGTCTAAGAGCGTGTCCTCTAACGGTTTCACTACCTCTCAACCCAAAAATGGGTTCATTGCGCCCTCTGTCTGCATCAAGCCTTTTACTATCTTGAAAGCTTCTAGTAGGCCGCCTCTGCTTCTCCTCCTCTCGGGAGAACAGCCCCGACTCCTGCAACCTTTGGTCGTACTCCATCCCTCTGCAGTGACCAAACCACCTGGTGAAGCGACGCTGTACCTGTTTGAGAAGCCTGCTATCCCTCACCAATTTGGGCCTCCACGCTTGGTGGCAATATTCCCGGTGTGTCCGGGAAAACGCCTTGTACAGCTTCAATTGCTTTCTTCAATTCTCTTCTGACCACCCCCGGAGGGCCCACACAGCGAATGGGCCTTGCTTCTCTCCCCTCAACGAGATGGTGGCATTTTGCTGCATTGGGAGTGAGATCCCACGCCACTGATCACTGATACACCTTATCTAAACCTCATTGCATTCTGTCGTCTGTTACTGCCCCAATTACCTTGATGTCATCCGCAAACCTAAAGCATGGATTTTCCAGTCCGTTCGCTATATCATTGAAAAACACAAATAACAGTGATCCAAGCACGGAACCTTGGGGCACTCCACTCTATAATTCTCCTCCCGATGCCAGGGCTTTGTCTAATCTTACCTGGAATTGTCTTCCTTTCAGGCTTGACACTATCCAACGTTCTAATCTAGGTGCTATCCTCACTGCTTTCAGCTTTTGATTCATTGAATCGAAAGCCTTTTGGAAGTCAAGATAGATTACTTCCACTCGCTTTCCTCTGCCTAGGCTCTTTGCTACCTCGTCTTGAATCACCACGAGGTTAGAGAGACATGACCTCCGCCACATGAACCCATGCTGGCAAAACCCCACCAACTTGTAGCTTTCAAGCTGTATCACAATCCTTTCCCTTATTATGCGCTTTAGAATCTTTAGAGTGATCGACGTAAGATTTACTGGTCTGTAGTTCAAGTACATTTCTTTGTCCTCTCTCCATTTGTGAATGCGGATGACAGTGAACAGGAGCCAGTCTTTTAGGAATCTCCCCTCCTCGGCGGACAAATTAAACAAGGTGGCTAGTGGTTATACCACCAAATATCCCAGCGGCTTTAGTATCGCCGGATGCATCCCATCCGTCCCTGCCGCTTTCGCATTAACTAATTGCTCAACGTTCTTCCATACTTCCTCCACGGATGTCTGTATCTTCCATCTCTGGTAAATGCAAACTACCGGTCACGGAAGCCCATGAGGATTTTGGTTTGACCTTTAAACGCTTCGGGAGAATTCAAGTATCGCAGTGGCTATCTCTCCCCTCCAGTGGTGGTGCGTTCACCTCTCCCAGTGCTCACTGCACCGAGTGAGCCTCTCAACGTGGCCTTGCATTGAACATAATTATGGTATGCTTTAGGATTCTTCTTGGCATTGTTTATTATTATTTACAATCTTGACTTCCTACTTCCTGTGATGTTCTCGTTGCACACCTTCTGCCCTTCTTCGAGCTGCTTTGCATTTTAGGTAAGCTCGATGTCCTTCCATTTTCTTATACTTTTGTCGTGCCACTTGTCTCTTTTTTCACTACCTTCTAACTGCACTTGTCCACCAAGGCATTGCCCCTCTCCTTCTGACCTTTCTCAGGGGTGCAACTTCATCTACGATGACTAGGAGATTAGCCTTAATCTCAATCCACAGCTCCTCCAGATCGTCTTCTCTCTGGGTTACAGTCCACGAGACCTGTTGACTTAGGTCCCTCAGCCTAATGTGATCTATCCCGGATAAGTTTCTTTAATACTTATCCGAGACAAGTGGTCCTTGATTCACTAGTCGCAGTCTTGTGACTGTATAATCACTCTTGCCGAGCGGTTCTTTTACCCAGACCGCTTCAATTTCGTTCGTTGATTAAGTGATCGCCAAATCAAGCGTTGATAGTGCTTTAACATCCCTTCACCTAGTTGCTTCATCGATGTGTTGATAGAAAGTTCTTTCTGTGATGAATTTTACCAAAGATTCGCCGTAAGACCCTTCGGGCGTAGAGTAGGATGTCCAGTCTATCTCCAATGCATTGAAGTAACCTACCACAATCGGCTTTCTTCGCGCATTGACTACCTTAGGAACTCCAGTAGTTGTGTATCTTCGTCCCTAGTGGAAATAGCGCTTCAATAGACACAAACGACAGATAGACAGGATGAGACTAATGCTATGACTGTTTCAATAGCCTGAATCTTGGGGGTAGTTAGATTGAAGTCTGCGTGGTACTCTAGATGGTTCGCCATGAAGAACATTACTCACCGCCTGTTCTACCATTCGTACTGTCCTTACACTGAAAACCTCTCTGAATACGTTTGATTTATCTCGTAATCCATTCTGAGCCACGTTTCGGTGACCACTATAAACTCAACACTCTCTGCCCGCGCTCTCAGTTCTGACCATTTGTTCCCAATGAGAAGTGCCTTTGTGTACACTAGCATTAATCTTTTCTTACTCCTGCCAGTCTCAACTTTCTTCACAGAGATTATCTTCTGCCAGAGCCTCACACTCGAGCAGTCCGATCGGTTTTTTTGCAAACCAGCCACGTCGGTTTTATTTCTAGTTTTCCCATCGGGTCACTTACCCAGGGGGCTTCTATGATCAGAGTGCTACTTGCTGCCAGTCCCTCTTCAATTCTATGTAATTTCAGCCTTGGCGAATGGAGGAGGACTGTGTTGAATCCTGACAATTCAAAAAGGGGTCGCTCTCTCAGCATGTCCTTCAGTGGTCTGGCAATCTGCCTTACCTTGAATTACTCCCCCACTGGCTAACTTAATCCTCTCAGAAGCCGCTAAAAAGTGGTCTTTGCATCTACAACTGGCGAACTCGACCAGCGTGGGTGTGGATTACCGCTGTACCTAGTCCGGTGTCTGCTTGCATTTTCCTAATCGTTCACTACGTGATAACTTACTGCCCTCTGTCTCGGTTTTCCTTCTTAAATGAACGGTTTCCAAGTGCCTTATATGACCACATTCCTAATCCTACCGAATGCAATGTCACTAAATTGGCTCAGCTTCGTAAATGCTGTGGTTAACCACCCAGTAGCTTCCTCTAGGGCAAATACTCGTTCTCTCAGATTCAGATCGGGAACTACTTTCAGTTACCTGTGTTTTGCTCTTATTCCCTCCCGCAATCGCAAATAGTTTCATGCCGCTTCGTCTTCTCCTCTCCCCACTGTGCGCTTTTGAAGGCTCTGGGGACTGCGCTTTTATTTCTTCTTCGTTGACTTCAGAGATACCCGCTGCACCAGGGTTAGTGCTCCTGCTCTCTCCAGGATTTATTGTTTTTAGCGCTTTGTTTCTAGTCTTACCCTTCTGGACATCTTTGTTCTGGCTTGTAACTATCAATTGTTTGCACCCAGTGTAAACGCTTACCTCGGGAAAAACTACTAGCCAACACTCATCAAGTGCCTTTTTAAAAGCATCTACAATACTGCAGCTTACCACTGCCAGCAACAACCGATTCCACAACGGAATTACCCTGTTAGTGAAAAACGTTGCCATCAGTTGCAACCTGGAGTGATTTCCCTGCAAACGCAGTTTGTCCCCGCATGCCTCTATGCGGAACAGGTCGTCAAACATAATGCCTAATATACCCTTGACGATCTTAAATGTCTCAATTAGATCTCCCCTCATCCGCTTCCGTTTGAGGGGAAAAGATTTACATCGCTGTCGCTGTTCATATCTTTTCTCCCGTTGCCCAGCTATCCTCCTCATGATTGGACGTTGAACCCTCTCCAAGGTACTAATGTCCTTGCGCCAAAACGAAGGCCATGCCTGCGCACAATATTCTAGATGTTGCAGAGCCATGCATTGTATAGGCGGACAAACACCTCGGGTTTTCTGCACGTCAGGGTTGCGCATAGACGAAACACTTTTCCCCTGGCTTTTTGCACCCTTAACACATTGGGTGCTCGGTTTAAAATCCCGCGGTACCACTGTGCTTAGATCGTTCGCCTCGTGCATCCTTTGTATCTGTTCTGTTTCGTTTTCAGTTCTGGTCGTCAGTATCCGACATTTCGAAACGTTTAGTGATAGATCCCACTGTTCGGTCCACATTTTCAATACCTTTATAACTCTTGCTAGATCCATTCAGCTATCTTGAAGTCTTCTGCAAACAGATACCACGGATTTTGGATATCCGGTGCTAGTGCAGTTACACCAATCACCTCCCATCTCACATGTACACTTTCTCTTTTGCGTCGCATTGTTTTACCCCACTTAGGCCACCTCTTTGATCAGCACGTGTTTACTTTCACCCTTTCGCATCTCCCTTTTTACTCTGCAGGTCATAACAGTACAACCGTCCTCCGTTTCGTGAACTGTCTGGTTCTGCTTTCTTATGAACTTTCATTTACGATAAAGCTGTATAATCTTGGGGTACCGGTAAACCAGTGCCTACAAACTGGTGAGCCCTCGCAGTTTATGTTATTTACGTTGGAAATTCTTTTTCGAAGAAATTTTAATTTCTCTAAGGCACACTTCCAGTAAACTGTCCGCATATATAGTTTTGCGGATCTACTCCAGCTATTCGGTCAAACTTTTATAATCCTTTCGACAACCTCATATCATATATTTACGATTACGTATGACTGGCCCAGATCATCAATATCCTACAGACAGCGAAACACTTTGGGCCCACATCAAGGCACCAGAGTTCATGCTGGAAGACCCGGGGGCGTTTCTCACACTTCTGGAAGCCCGATTCCATGAAACCCGCGCCACCGGGCAACTATCACGTTACCACAAACTGTTATCCGCGATACCGCGAGAATTGCTGAGCAGTTTCAGGGATATCTACATGAATACTCGCCCTAATAATCCGTACAACCTGCTTAAGGAAGAACTCATCCGTCGTATGGTTATTTTTGAGGAGGACCTCATCTAGCTTCTACTGTCGAGGATACAACTGAGAAGCCTCAAGCCGTCCCAGTTGCTGCGATAAATGCGTCCTTTAGTAGGCAACACAACGTTAGACGACTCTGCACTACGCCAGATCTGGCTCCAGCCTCGCCCGCCTTACGTGCAGAGTATACTTAATGTCTTCGCCCATGCACATGGTCTCGAAGAACGAGCCAAAGCTGCAGATCGAACAATGGAGGAAACTTAAGGTTTTCAGCCCACAACTACCAACGTCGGGAGTCCTGAAACAACCATGGTTCACCAGACGCTTCTTAATTCAGCTCTTGTTAAGCTCCATAACGGGCCTGTGATAAAAGTGCAGTTTTTACTTAGGCAGTTGGACGACCTCCGCTTAGATATAGCCACCATGAAGACCACAATCAACAATCTGCAGACTGCCCGTACAACCCGTAACCAGTCCGGGTCAAGTAACGTTTGTCGACGTGCGCCATCTGGGGGCGATTTGTGCTATTCCCATAGACGCTCCGGCAATCAAGCTAGGAAGTGTGAATCGCCGTGTTCGTTCAAAAACCAGCAGGGAAAATAACAGGCCGGCAGGTTAACCTCGACCGGCTCTCCCACCTCTTTTAGCCTCTGTTTCATCCACGATTACTCGCCCAAGCTTAGGTTTATAGTAGACACCGAAGCGCAAGTCAGTATGATCCCGTTAACTATACAGGATGCCGTCAATCCAGCAACACTGACTTTGCAAGCAGCCAGCGGTACCCGTATCCAAACCTATGGACAGCGGCTACTGAATTTAGAACTAGGTTCAAGACGCTTCTTTCTTTGGGTTTTCGTGGTCGCTCGGGTTTCTTACGCCATACTTGCCCTAAACATTTTTCAGCACTACGGCAAGCAACGAATTAGAGACCCAGCCACTTCTAGGGTAGTCGTTGGTTCCCTGGAATATTCCGAAACGCAGAATGCACACCTCCTTTTCCAGACGATGATTCACCTTACTCATCTTTATTCCGCGAGTTTCTTAGCCTCGTCCCCAGCACCGAGCTGCCGCCTAATGCAACGGAGTTATTGCACCACATCGTCACTCGAGGTGCACCGGCCCACGCACGTCCCAGTCGACTAGCATTAGATAAGTTATGCATCGCACGCGCAGAGTTTCAGGACATGCTAAAGAGCAGGATCGGGTGGATTGGGAGCAATAGGTAACAAGGCCAGCCAGACTGGGAGAGATATGAATCACGCGCCGACTCAGCCGAAGCAGTCAAACGACGAAGGCCGAACTGCACCTTTTCTCCCACGCGTTCAATACGGGATACGAGGCAGTAGCTAACGTATACTGGCTGCATGTGAACGGTGAGACAAGGCCTGAGTCACAGATTTGAAATACGTATAGATACCCCGCCTCGATCTGATCGCGGCCGTGCTCTGCTGTACGCATATTAGAGCAGCTAAGACAGTGCTTTAGCATCTTTGATGAACGCTTCACGTTCTGAACCGATTCTACCTTTGTAATTGTGATGTCTTATGCGAGGACGAATGATCGGTACGTGCGCCTCCTGTCTAAGTCCCAACAACTAAAGAAAAAACACGGCTGAGAA